TTAACAACAATTGTCTAACCCCATATTTTTGTAATCAGAAAAAAATAACGAATTTAATAAGCGAATAATCAGTGGTTGTTTCCATTTAAAAAAACGAAAATTGTGATAATATCTCAAAATCTAAAACCGAAAAAATTTTTTTGACTACGTCATCCAATTCTCTATAAAAAAGTGTCCATATAATGTCTTAGTTATAATACTCCACCTATAATAATAACGAAGATAATTGCACTTGCTGGTTTTACGATATTTTCAATTTTGGCCTCTAGGGGAAAAACAAAAGACGATAGCGCTATGAGGTTTTCGGCATTAGCAGTTTCTCGAAAAACGAGATCATGACATGGAAGCTACTTTTTTTCTAACTCTTATAGTTTCCGAGTTAGCCTATTCGGACATCGATTTGAACCATCCTGTACAGGACAGAACATTTAATTTTATTTTTGAAGCGACAATGATTATACTAAAAGGAAATTTGAAGGAAAAAATTCGGAAGATGTCGAAAATATCCATGGATTTGAGAGAGAGATCTCATCTAATAATCAAGCAGACGATTTACACAATATTTATAAATAGTATAATAATGCCGGTTCTGGATCAGAAGCGGCTCCTTGTAACGTCACGCCCCAATGTTATAAGTTATAAGTATAGGGAAAGTGACCAACTTAAATCTGGGGGGCCAAAAAGTTACTAGATTTAGGTTGGTATTGGAAAAGTACCCAATAAACAAGTACCTACATGTTGAGGTTGGCAACGCTTGCATCGTATAGGGTGTGGCAGTAAGTCTAAGACTTTAAAATAAAGTACACTTAAAGTTAACACAAAAGGAGTTTCATTTATTAAATCATCAGGGTTATGGGCCCAGACTAAGTACGAAAGAAAATAATATAATGCCAAGAGAAACCGTTGTAAAAATGAGGTTAAGGAAAATTTATTGGTTAAAAATGTCATCAAGAGAAAGATATCAAATAAGTTACTTTGCGGGAGAGAATTTTACGACATGGGCTTTTCGTATGAGATCAATTTTACGAGAGGCAGGTGTTTTAATAGAGGACGAAAAGTTTGTAGAGGACAGTAAAAATGAAGCTTTAGAAGCAAAGGCTCAAGCCTTAATAATAAGTAGCGTGGCTGACAGTCATTTAGAATATTTAAAACGATAAAACGGCGTTTGAAATGTTTAAAAAGTTGGAAGAAAATTTTAAGACGAAACATACAAAGAAAAAGAGCCCTTTATCAGACCATTTTGTAACAATGGAAGAAATGTTCTCACAATTAAAAGATTCTAGCGCGGAATTAACTGAAGAAGAAAAGATTAATTATTTGATATTATCGATGCCAAAGAGTTATGAAACGTTGATAACAGCACTAGAAACAATGGAAGATTTAAAATTGGATTTTGTAAAAAATAGATTGTTGGGAGAAGAAGAAAAACGAAAGAAATTACAAAGGAAAGATGTAGAGAAGACAGAAAATGTTTTTTTATATTTTTCATGTGGGAAGCCGGGACATAAAAAATACCCATATAGTGATGGAGTAATCAAGTCGAAAGGTATTGTCGAATCATCTCCTTTCTTTGGTTAGGGAAACCGCTACAAATTGGATAAAACTAACGATATACATGTATTAAAACAGCTTCAGATTCTAGTAAGATATTTAACAGTCCTTAACTGCCGATATTAATACTATACATGGGGTTCCACTTGGATAAAGTGTTCGTATTAAACTGACGCACCCTTATTAATATGGAATTGCTAACACGACTATGATTGATCATCATCTAATCCACTTCATAATAAATACTAGGATGCAGAACGAAATACAGCATAAAACGTTGATTGAATGCAGTTTGGGAACGAATAAATATTTCCACAGATAGACATCAATACAAGTATTGATGTATCAGAAACAAGATACTCGACAAAACTGAACAAAGTAATTCAACAAAATAGTATGATTGTCCTTATTAGGGTATACAGAGAGATTCTTATTAGGGAGAACAGATAACACTGGAAGAAATGGAGGCAATGTTGAGTAGACTGAAGAGTGGAAGGGCACCAAGAAAGGATGAGATCCAGAATGGGGCATGGTTGGAGGCAACGGAGACGGCGATGAAGAAGCTATGGAAGGTAATAAACGACGTATGGATTGGGAAGACGTTTCCAGGCAGGTGGAGGATGAGGATAATATGCCCACTGTATAAAAAGGGGAGTAAAAGGGTGGTGAGCAATTATAGAGGGATCACTCTGTTGGATACAACTTTCAAAATTTATGCAAAGATACTGCTGGGGAGGCGGGATTTAGGAAGGGAAGAGAATATATACATTCTGAAACACCTGGTAGATAAGGAGTTGAACAAGTACAGGGAGACGATGGCCAAGGTTAAAGTGGGAGAAGAGTTAAGTGAAGTATTCTGGACGACAAAGGGATTGACATAGGGGTGCCCACAATATTTGCAATATATACGGCGGACTTGAAAAAGAGACTTGCGAAGGGGCAAATGAGTGGGGTGGTGATAGGAGGAACAAAGGTGCACGTCTTGGCGTATGCGGTCGATTTGGTGGTTGTGGCTAGAGAGGCGGTGGAGATGAAGGAGATGATGAAGCCCTGGAAAGATATTTTAAGGTGAAGAGTGACGAGAAACTGTTAATACTGAAAACCTCAAAGCACTATCGTCTTTTGTTTTTCTCCTAGAGGCCAAAATTGAAAATATCGTAAAACCACCAAGTGCAATTATCTTGGTTATTATTATAAGTGGAGTATTATAACTAAGACATTATATGGACACTTTTTTACACATTAGTGTCGTCAAAGAAATTAAATTTACAGTTTCCTGTAAATTATAACTACAAATTAAAAAAAACATATTTCTGATATTTGAATCAAATACATTTGTTGAACTATTTAATTTATATCTGTTTTACACAAAGGTTGGAATAAATTGCATTATTTCACATTTTTTATTAATATTAATTTAATATTATTATTAAATGACTTAATAAATTATTGATAGATGGCGCTCATATATATTTTTTTTAATTCAAATAAACATAGCAACATTTGTTTGTATTCAAAAATTTTCTCAAGTGTCAAATTAAAAATCCTGTTTTTTAAGATGGATTACGAAAATTACGAAAAGTTTAACATGTTAGAATGTTACATATTAGAAAATATAGTAAATTTTATATAAATTTTTAGTAGAATAATTTGTAATTGTAGTATCGTAATTTACAGGAAACTGTAAATTTAATTTCTTTGCCGACACTAAAAAAAAGTTTATTTTTAGCTTTATTCTAAAACAATAAGAAATAGAATCCTGTCCGAAAGTTTAAGCATAACACACATTACACCTAAAAATAAAGACACAGATTCATTTCAATAAAAACGTTTACTAGAAAATCAAGATGCTAATTATCACAAGAGACATTTAAAATAAATTGACGAGATTCGAAGGTTCCTGAAGATGGTTCTATAAATAAACCGAAACCGGTAGAATTTAAAACAATAAATTCATTTTTAATAAAAGTACAAACAGAAAAAAGTATTTTACTTTAAATAAGAAATAGACCTATCTAACCCCAACTGATGGGACAAGTTTGGGGATGGGGAGAAAGAACTTTTGGGAGGGACGTGGCAAAAAGAAAGGTTATGTTTGATGGCTTGGTAAAGAGCATAATGATGTACGGCGCAGAAGTATGGGGATGGAGAGAACAAGGTTTGCTGGAGGATATACAAACACGATATTGGAGATGGGTTGGAGACGTCTTTAAAGACGTGCGGCTAAGCCCGAATTCTTCTAGTTCTAGGTCTAGTGATAGTTCTAGTGACAGTTCTAAGTGCGCTACTTGGCACTAGATAGCCTTAGGTTGTGTATTGCTATTGAACTAAAACTAGAACCAACACTAGACCTAGAACTCGAATCATTCTACGTTGTGTATTGTTATTGAACTAAAACTAGAACTAACACTGTCTAGGTCCAGTGTAAGTAGAAGTATTTGGGCTTAGCCGTACGTCTTTAAAGACGGCTAAACCCGAATGATTCTAGTTCTAGGTCTAATGATAGTTCTAGTGACAGTTCTAAGTGCGCTAGTTGGCACTGGATCTAGAACTAACACTAGACCTAGAACCTGTAGGTCCTTCTAACAATACAGACTTTTTTGGATATTGTTAGTACATGACCACATATGAATATCATCACTTTCTCCTTCTTAATTTGTACAATGTTCATATTGATAAAGTCAAACTTCTAGACCAGCAGCGAGATGACCAACATGGATCGTAAACCATGTACTTGGACCTCATAAATAACAAGCATACTAACTCCACACCACAGTGTACAGAGTGGTTCAAATTCGATGTCCGAATAGGCTAACTCGGAAACTATAAGAGTTAGAAAAAAAGTACATAGCTTACATTATATGGACACTTTTTTACAGAGAATTTCATGACGTAGTCAAAAAAAAATGTTTCGGTTTTAGATTTTGAGATATCATGACAATTTTCGTTTTTTTAAATGGAAACAACCACTGATTATTCGCTTATTAAATTCGTTATTTTTTTCTGATTACAAAAATATAGGGTTTGACAGGTCTATTTCTTATTGTTTTAGAATAAAGCTAAAAATTAACTTTTCTTTTAGTGTCTTCCAAGAAATTAAATTTACAGTTTCCTGTAAATTACGGTACTATAATTAAAAATTAAAAAAACATATTTCTGATATTTGAAACAAATATATTTGTTGAACTATTTAATTTATATATGTAATTATTCAAAAGTTGGAATAGGTTGCATTATTTCACATTTTTTATTAATATTTAATATTATTCTTAAATGACTTAATAAATTATTGATAGATGGCGCCATTTGTTTATATTAAAAAATTTTCTGATGTGTCACTTTAAAAATCCTGTTTTTAAGATGAATTACGAAAATTTTGAAAAGTTTAACATGTTAGAACGTTACATATTAAAAAAAATATTTGTTTTTAAATACCAGAAGTTATCTTCTTATTTAATTATTAAATTAAAAAGCTAAAAATAAATTTTTTTTTAGTGTCGTCAAAGAAATTAAATTTACAGTTTCCTGTAACTATAACTAAAAATTATTCTACTAAAAATTTATATAAAATTTACTTTATTTTTTAATATGTAACATTCTAACATGTTAAACTTTTCGTAATCGATCTTAAAAGAAAATTTTTGAATACAAATGTCATTTACTTTTAATTTTTTTTTAATTTTTATTTAATAATAATATTAAATATTAATAAAAAATGTGAAATAATGCAATCTGTTCCAACTTTTGTGTAAAACAAATATAAATTAAATAGTTCAACAAATATATTCGTTTCAAATATCGTTAATATGTGTTTTTAATTTTTAGTTATAATTTACAGGAAACTGTAAATTTAATTTCTTTGACGACACTAAAAAAAAAGTTTATTTTTAACTTTATTCTAAAACAATAAGAAATAGACCTATCTAACCCTATATTTTTGTAATCAGAAAAAAATAACGAATTTAATAAGCGAATAATCAGTGGTTGTTTCCATTTAAAAAAACCAAAATTGTCGTAATATCTCAAAATCTAAAACCAAAAAAATTTTTTTGACTACATCATCAAATTCTCTGTAAAAAAGTATCCATATAATGTCTTAGTTATAATACTCCACCTATAATAATAACCAAGATAATTGCACCTGCTGGTTTTACGATATTTTCAATTTTGGCCTCTAGGGGAAAAACAAAAGACTATAGCGCTTTGAGGTTTTTGGCATTAGCAGTTTCTCGAAAAACGAGATCGTAACATGTAAGCTACTTTTTTTCTAACTCTTATAGTTTACACCCCAACAACGACTCGAAAACATGAAAGTGACGACACCGAATTAATTGACAAAAAGTGATTTACCATAATTCCACATTCTAGAGTAAAATAGAGTTTTGTATACACAGTTTGCAGACACTCAAAAGAGTGATTTCTTTTGTACACAGTTTTTAGTGTAATTTATGTTGTTATAAAATGATTTGATAATAATGTATTAATCATCCCACGTAAGTATCAATTAATTTAAATACAAAAACTTACTTTCAGTATATAAAGGGTTCATAGGAACGACCGGAGAACCAACATAAATACTCCCCATCATCGGAATAAAATAATTAACATTATTTTCACTGATAATAGCAACTAATCTATCTTTTCTAGCCCCGATTTTCTTTAAACAATTAGCCATTCGACACACTTTTTGCGTAAAATCCTTGTAAGTAATCGATTCCTCCGTGTTTTCATTGACCTTGAATGAAAAACTACATTAACGAAATGGAAATTTTTTCCAACACTTTTTACTTACAAAAAAATCCCCTTTATTAATATGTTCCAACAAATATTTATGGAAAAACTGTCCATTCGAACATTCGATAGGCGCCACCGCATTCGGCTTTCCATGAACAACAAAATTTTCGTCAACAGTCATTTTCGTTTTTAAAATTTTAAACCGTAACTCGGCACGTGTATTTATACAACGAAATCGTTTTACGAACTGAGTTAGGTCACCACGTCCCCACTTTTTTTTTAGTTGAGTGCTAAGTTTTAATTCGACCTTGCATTAAATTAGATTTGATAAGAATATAAATTTTTTTTAAACGGTTTAATTGATGTTAAGTGACAGGTGTATAAAAAAAAACAAATTTGAAAGCTCAACGTTCAAAACGATTTTAAATAAAAATAACTTTGCAGGCGTAAATATCATTATCGATTTGAATTGGTTTTTATCTTATCTTGCATAATTAATGATTAATAATCTTGAAAATATTTGTAAACTTTTATTTTACTTAAATCAATATAAATCTTAAATGACTCGTATTTAATTTCTTAAAAATTAATATAGTAAAACCTCGATATAATATGTTAAAACGGACTTCGAATATCTTGCTCAATTAATTAATGTTTATAGATAAACTCGGGGTATTACTCGAGTTTAGTCAGTTAGTTCTAGTTTTAGTTATTATTATTAAGAGCTAAATTGTTCTATATTTTTATTGAATTAAAAATAGAACTAACACTACATCCAGAACTAGAAACATTCGGGTTTAGCCGCACGTCTCTCAAGACGGCTAAACCCGAATGATTCTAGTTCTAGATCTAGTGTTGGTTCTAGTGACAGTTCTAAGTAGCGCTAATTGGTACTAAATAGCCTTAGGTTGTGTATTGTTATTGAATTAAAACTAGAAGTAACACTAGACCTAGAACTAGAAAGAATATTATATATCACCCTGTATATATTATATACAGGGTGAGTTATTAGTATAGGATAGTTGCTAAACCGTTTGAAAAACAAAAAAAATGTTTTATACAAAAGTTGTTTGACTCACCACTTTCTATTACGTAAATTTATTTTCACTTATACAGGATGTTCCATTTACGCGTAACGGAGAGTATGTAGATTTTTTTAAATGGAACACTCTGTATATTTTATCATATTATGAATAGCATTAAATTTGTTTATACAACCGTATATGTTACTAACTCATAGCGTTCATAGTTCCTGAGATATTCAATTGTTTTTCCAAAATGTGTCCATTGCAGGATCTTTTTAAAAACGGTGTAAAAACGACATTTTTTCCAATTTTGCCTTGAAATTATGTCAGTTAATAGTCAAAGCTAGTAGGTAAATGATAGTATCCAAAGATATTAGATACGCTATACAGCGTGTTCACAAAGCTAACAATAAGTAAAAACTTTTTGTGAGGAATATTAAAAAAACTTAATTTATTTAAAAAAGTAAACATGTTTCGAAACATATATTATGTTTTGTTGTATTTTAAGAAAGAAAACCAAAACTCATTCCTATTTCCAACATATTTAAAATTTTTCCATCAATTTGTAATTATTTCAAGTACTGAAGATGAAACATTTGTTTCGAAACATGTTTACTTTTTGAAATAAATTAAGTTTTTTTAATATTTCTCACAAAAAGTTTTTACTTTTTCCTATTTTATTAT